GGGGGGGGAAGGCATGGATGCCAAGGACAATGGGGGAGGAGGATGGGACATAGCAGAGGGTGGGGGATGGGGAATCAAGGATGGCAAAACAAAAGGCAAGGTATGCAGGACATAAGAATTGGAAAATTATTTGCTGAGAACATGTATGTTGATGTGCTTGATTGAGCCAATGCACAGTGTATTTTGGATGGAAAATTCATTTGTGTGTTGTGATGGTGTATAGTGAATTAATGTGTGCGATGCAGCTGAAAATAGTGCTTACACAGAGATTTATCATTTTTATTTTAGAAATGAAGGTCCAAACTCAATTATTCAAGTTTCCTGTTTAAGAAAGTAGAAAAAGATAAAATTAAACCCAAATAAAGTAGAAGGAAATAATAAAAAACTAAATTCAATGAAACCAAACAAGCAATAGAGAAAAAATCTATGAAATCAAAAGTTAGCTTTTGGAAAGATCAATACAAGTAATATATGTCTATCTAGACTGATTAAGGGACAGTAAAAAGGGAAAAGATACAAACTGCCCACATCAGGAATAAAAGGGAACATATTTACAGATCCTATAAACACAGAATTAGGAAATATCACAACTTTATGTTAATGCACTTGACTACCAAGATAAAATGGATGAAGTACTTGAAAAACAAATGATAAAAATCACAGGTTAGAAAATTTGCATAGCTCCATAGTTAGAAAGAATCTGAATTCACAGTAATTTCCTACAAAGAAAACTCCAGGCCCACATGATATTACTAGGAAATTAAAAATTTAAGGGAGAATCCTACACAAAATCTGTAAGAAAGTAAGAGAAAGCTTTCATTTTATGAGGGTAGCATTAGCCTAGTAACTAAATCATAAAATAGAAACATAGAAAATATAAAAAGAAAAAACTCCAAATATTCCTCATGAATATAGACAGTTAATTAAAATGAAAATCTTGGCTAATCCTGCAGCCCAGTGGTTAAGGAAGCCAATCCCACGTTGCCCACTATGGTATGAATCCATCCCAGTAGCTTAAGAAAACATAGAGGGGACTAACAGGTGGTGTGGTGACTGAGGCGCCGGACTTCCACAGGCACTGGCTGGCTGTGCTTTGAGTCTCAGGCCTGGCGGTTTGCTTCCTCACTATCCCTCTCTCTCTCTCTAGTCAAATTGGAGAATAAAAATAAAAAATAAGGGACCAGTAGATGGCATAACGGTTATATCGCTGGACTCCCATGTGGTCAATTATGGTTTGAGTCCTGGACCTGTCAGCTTAAAACTCACAGTGGGCGTGTGTGTGCATGCCCAAAATGCTGAGAGGAGAATGGAGAAGAGGAGACTGTGGCATGGCCATCCCCCCAGGGAATTGATTTCTCGTTGTCTCTCTGGTGAGCACACATGCCCTATAAGCAAAACAAAACGAAACAAAACAAAAACCAAAAAAAAAAAAAAACAAACCAAAACCTTAAAAATAAATAAATAAATGTTTTAAAATAAAGCATACTGAGTACATGTGCATGTGTGTCCCAAATCCTGACAAGATAGAGAAATGAAGGGATTGTGGCATAATCATGCCCCACTAATGGGTGCTTTATCGCTCTCTCCTACCATTTCTCTCCCTCTCTTTCTTTCTCTCTCTATGGCAAGCAGACATGCCCTCTGGCAATTAAAAAAAATCTTTAGTAAGAATGCAGGGTTGGTTTTACATTGACATATAAAAACCTACAGCTAATATCTGGACGAAGGTAAGGATGTCCACTCTGAGCATTCAACCCTGTTCTGAAGATCCTAGTCAGTGCAGTGGGCAAGAGGAGGTAAAAAAAAAAAAAAAAAAAAAAACCAGGCAGGACAACTTGAAAGGAAGTAAAATTGTCTTTATTCTGAGATGATATGATTGTATATATGGAAAATCTTAAAAACATGAAAAGTTACTAGACTAACAAAAGTGAGTTTAGCAGAGTCACAGAACAGGAGGTCAGGACACAAA